TTCTATCATTGTATTTAAGGGTTCTTTGATTAGAAATCCTCGCGAACGTTATACAATCCCACATCTATTACAGCACCCATTTCTGTCTTCAGGAAAAGGTATTTTAATACATATATGTTTTTCGCTTCTTTGGACTTCTCCGTTTAATGACCGACCATTCGTTTTTACAGCCGCTGAACCAAATGAAGAACAACTTTTCAACGTCCTTCTAGAGTTAGCGCAGGCTCATGTCAATTCACCTCGTTCCATTCGAGTTGCAAGCAAGGTATGTTATAAATTCCGGAGTAATGGTTCCTCTGGGGATGCTCAAACGACCCGAGTCTCCGTGGTGTATAGTTTACAATTTCTCTACAGTATAATAACCAAAGAAAACACATGCCTTCGCACTTTGTATGGTTGCACTCGGCTGTTTTATCCTCGGAAACCCAGGAGCTTTTTTGGTACATTCTCAAAAGCCTCTGAGTTTCCCAGGATGCCACATTCTAAGATAACGACTAGAAAAAAAACCATCATGCATTTGCGCATTGACGGAATCACAGGCAAAGTATGAAAGTTTTTTTTATGGTCGTTGATCAATCAAACACTGTTCTATGTGACTTTGAGGGATTTTAGACCTTAAGTATCTCGAACTTTACTAAAATACTTACTCGTTTTCAGAGTATTTGCGAGCAACTACGGTCAGGTAATAAAATCGATGTGTCCTCAATTTTGGTGAAAAAACAGCACCAATCCCAGCATGCACCACCCTCAGGACGTCAACCACTCGGTGGTCTGAGAATGGGGTCACTGCAGATGCCTCAAGGTGCTCTCAAGTCATCAGCACCATATATGGGCAATGATAGATCTTACTTCGATAAGGTGGGTACTGTTTCAATGATCAACCATCTTAGAGTAATGAAAATAATTTACTTAAGCGCCAAATAAACGAATTGGATCATCAAAATAATTTCTTGAAGGCCAAACGGCTAGTAAGAATGCAAATAAGAATGTTGGGCTGCCTGTGATACAGCTTAGGTCAGGAAGTCGATCTATTTCCCTATGACGCCATAGTACACTGATTTTGTCCGAAAAAAATGAACACAAGAAAACATCATAACAGCGAATATAAGAGCCAACAAAACATATGTCAGACAATCATTGACCAAAAAACTAGAAAATTTAAACTTGAAGTTTATTAGAGAAAGAAATGATGTATTCTTATCCCCATGTAAACATGCTGTTACGTCATAATGAAATGGAGCAGTTGAATTATCGAACTTTTGTCATATTTATAATTGTTGCATTTTCATTTTATTGAAAGGAAAATAATGACTTGCCATTCACATAATGACGCCTGCTTCCAAGAATAAGAACAATAGATGTGAAATCACAAGTAGGAAGTTATATCATTAGTCTTCCTCTTGAAGTGCATTGAAAACTTAGAAAAGAACTTAGAAAATTTAAAACTATGTAATCAGATTTGTGCGAAGACAATCTAGATAATAAATATAATATTCGGCTTAGTATAAAGAATGTGACATTCTAGTAAAATATGCTTGTGTGCATATCGTTAAAAATTTCTTACGGACACAAACTATTTACACCTTATCAGTCGTTTAGGTCAACTGCAAACGAAGTTCCATAAAAAATTATGACGATGTGACTTTATAATTTTTGAATTTATGAGCCCTACATTGCAACTTCTACTCTCTAGAAATGTCCCCAACACAGATCGTATCCAAACATTTGTCCTGAAAATTTAGTAACTATTTAGAGCTGCTATCAAATATTGTCAGACTTTCGAGAGACACAAGCTTTCAAGACGTTTTAAGACTATCAACGAATCGATGAGATGACCCGGGAAGGGAAGATTTGTGTTGGCATCCATCCTCCAGCCTTGATGATTCTCACGAACACTGAATATCATATGTTCAAAACTCGTTTCAATGTACTGCCTGCGCAGGCCCGTAGGCTGGGGGAATTCGGACGAAAAAGTCCGGTGTTTATCTTTGTTTATTGTTCTATTTTAAAATTCTTTATTAACTGTTTTTGAGATAGTAATTTGTTATTATATGAACTGCTCATTCTAGCAGCCAGCCACACTATACTGTGCATTGAGCTATTAAGGTACATTTAATTTAGGTCGATTTAGGTCCGCATNCCATGTAAACAGGGCATGTATTTTATGATAATAATGTGCTTATATTTTGATTCAGTGATAACAAAGAATAATGTGATGTCAGAATTCCGGTATTCCCCCAAAAGCATAAACGGCCTTGGCTTTACACTTAACATGAAGTAAACAACACACGATTTTATTTTCTTGAGTCGTTTTTGCTTCTTTATCCTATATTTTATCTTACAAATTTTCCATCTAAGTCCAGGCTGAAAGCTTGCAATTATTCGTTCAAGGTTCTTCTGAAAATATTGGACGAATTATCTTGGGATAAGATAAGAATAGACATGTTCTGCGAAATTATTCTAGAAAAGTTCATAGGGGGCACGAATTTGACATTCTTGTCATATCAGTGAAATATGCTTGTTGTGCATTTTCTTGGACCAAGAAAAAAATACTGTAATATTTCGCTATCGCGGTTAAAATCAGTTAAGGTACACACTATTTACACCTTAACAGACATATAGATAAAACTACTAACGAAGTTCCATGAAAATTTGCAGACAAAATGCAGTATTTTTATTCTCAGTCGATGTTGATTTCCTGGTGATGTTAGAATAGTTGATTGGGGTATTCCCCTCACTTATCAACCAATCAGAGCTTAGTAAACAACACGTGACTTTGAACTCGCTATAAAACATCCCTCCCTCTTTTTGCCTTCGTATTTGAACTTTCTTTTCGTACAACACGGTTATTATTTGGTACTTGAACTTTTTTTTGTGTAACTTACATCTTACCAATGCTGAAAGCTAGTAGGCACTTCGAAGGGGTTTTTCTGAGAATCTTGGCAGAATTAACATCTGCGGAGAGGTCGGATTTCTGTTATTTATACTGCCGAAAACGTCCGCCCACACCACCAATACCACCGAATGAAGAAGAAATGCTGCTGTTGTTTCATGAGCTAAAAGATGAGAACATGATTTCATCCAGCAATGTGTCCTTCCTGATAGAATTTACGGACACCATTCTTCGATATGACCTGACAAATATTCTACTGGAGTATAAATCAGAAGTTGAAGTTGGCACTATCCTCGAAGAGTATGTCGATTTCCGAGACGAAAATCCACTCAACGTCGACTCTCTAGAAATGTCCCCAACACAGATCGTATCCAAACATTTGTCCCGAAAATTTAGAGACTGTTCAGAGCCGCTAACAAAGATTGTCAGACTTTCGAAAGACACAAGCTTTCAAGACGATCTAAGGCTATCAATCGATGAGATGACCCGGGAAGGGAACGAGTTGTGTTGGTCGTCCATCCTCCAGATTCTGGGATTCAGCTCGGAGTTGGCGTACAGACGAATGTGTTTATTTCCTGGACCGTCTAAGTTTCACCGATTGCTTTCAGACATTGACGACGTTCGCCTGGTATTACAAGAATTTAAGATTCTGTCGTGGATGGCTCAAAACGGAGGCGCTGTAAGTATTGTAAATTTTGTTGTGTTGATTTCGCCGCAATGTGCAAAGGAACATCACAGGCTTACCAGTCTCTGAGGAGTTACGGGAGATGGGCTACCTGTGGCGACAAACTTAACGGATTTTCACATGTAGTCAAAATATCGTTTCTAAACCGTATCTTTTCATTCTTGAAATATCAAAAAACTTCAATAAAGATGGTTCAATAGTTTATGAACATTTTTGGAGGGGTTATTTTCGATTTTGATGCTGTTTTAGTGTGTTTTGGGAGGGTTAGATTTCGACCTTCNTTTTTTTTGTAAGGCAGCCTACGGGCCTGCTGCGATACCAACCCGCTCGACCTTTTTTTAAAGGTATTTCCTTCGGACCAATCACAGTTTAGTACTCAACGATGTAGATATGACGTCAACTTGGTATAAAAGCACTGGACAACTCCTTGTTTTTCGTACTTCGACCGAACTTTTGTTTCTTCCGTATTTTCCATCTTACGGTAGTCTGATGCTCAGAGCTTGCCGACCGCTATTACAACAGATTCTTTTAAGAATCTCATTGGAATTGACTTCGCAAGAGAGGGCACAATTCTTTTTTTATTGCGAAAAGAGTTTCCCAAGTAGTCCCTCGAAGGGTCAATTATTGGAATTATTTTGCGAGCTCCAAAAGCGCCTTAAAAGTTCATCCAGCGTCGTGTCGTTATTAAAAGACTTTACTAAAACCATTTGCCGATTGGATCTCGAATTGCTGTTAATGGAATATGAAACAGAAATCGAAGTAGACACGATCTTCAAAGAGTATCTTCATTTCCGAGAGGGAAACCAAAATCCAGATCTTTCGTCCGCAACCGCACGTACTGTCTCGAAAACTTTGTCTCGAAATTTAAGAGATGGTCAAGAGCTGCTGACAAATTTGGCAAAACTATCTAAAAGCACAAGCATAGAAGAAGCTGTGAGGTTATATCTCGATGAGGTCTTGTCCCGGGAAGGGAAGTTTTGTTGGTCGTCCATCCTACAGATTCTGGGATTCTGCTCGGAGTTGGCGTACAGACGAATGTGTTTATTTCCTGGACCGTCTATGTTTCAGCGATGGCTTTCAGACATTGACGATGTTCGCCTGGTATTACAAGAATTTAAGATTGTGACGTGGATGGCTCAAAACGGAGGCGCTGTAAGTACTATTACTTAAAGTAATTTGCAAATATGTGACTCGCTGTCAATGTATAAACTGTTTCTATATCTCATGGCGGAAACGATATCGGTCTTTCGCGCGGAATTTTGATAGTAAGATTATCTCAAAACAACTAAACTTAATTCCTACCGCGGCACTTCACCGTAACAATCCAAACTTGAATTTGTATGAAACCATAACTAAAGGATGATGGATGAAGGTTTTGGCAGCCATATCACTTGACGGGTAAGAGGATAAATAAGCAATGATACAGTAAAAAATCAACATCAAATGATTTTCGTTGAATTCCAATTCTGAAAGAATCAATCATTCCAAACATTAGATACCACAAAAAGGAGCTCACTAGCCAGTTTTGAAGGAATTAGCTGATCTAGCGAGCGATTAAGACTGATTTTCCGTCTTTATTTCTTTGTATTTTTCAAGTACGTAAGACCCCAGAAAATATATATTTATTTTTGCGCTCAAAAGTTTTTACAGTCGTTTGAAAAGAATCGTGAGCACCATAAGTAAATATGTATAGAGTCTTTGTAGCGATTTAAAACAAACTCCACTTGTTGTAGATCAGTCTTCTTTAAATTGCCATCTTACTTAACGATGCTTTGATTCTTGTCTTCATTTTCAACAAAAAAATTCTTGACATATTTTAGGTGCTAAATAAAAATGAAAATGTCCAAATTTGAAACAATGGATAAGAATCGCAAAGTTCATAGTTTAAAAAGAAAATTGCCCAATCCTCTCCCCCTCAAAAATCAAATTTTGATGTTCTAAAAACTTTGCTTTTCTTGCATCAGTCACAGGGGCTAAATCTATCATTTACTTTGTTTTATGTGTTAATTCCTCTGCCTTACTGTTGATTGTGTTATTAAAACAGTGATAAATCCCCAACAGAAACTCATATTTTCAATCCCCTTATGAGTTTCTGTCCCCAACTATAATGTGTTAATTTCCCAGGCCCTCCCCGGGGGATGGGGGACCAGGGTTTCAATTGATTTATGTAAGAGTTACATACCGAGAACGGAGGCAATCAGCTGATTGCTGAGTATAGGCTGATTGCCGACATTCGAGGTATGTAACTGGCTTATTTCATACTTGAAGAAGTTTTCCAAGCACTGCATTAATATTTTCATTTTTAAATAGGCAAAGAAGYCGTTTTCATATGAATTAAAAACCAAACCCTCAATTAGAAAGATTACAAAATTTACAGTACTGAAAATTCCCAACGGGAATAATTTGCATAACCAATTTTCTCGTTAGTCCCATGAGACCAATGCTAACAATACACCTTTTGTAACAAGTAACTGGACAATGTTAAATAACTGTTTTATTCCGTAACTGACATTGATTAGTCAGTTAGCATAATGTGTTAAGTATAGGATTTTCAAAGCTAAGATTGTGGGTTTCGAATCTACTTGGTGTCATTTGATTTTTTCTTTCTTTCTTTCAAGTTTAAAGTTTCAGACGGAAAATTTCTAAGTTGAACGTAGTAGTTAATTAGGTATTCAAGGGCAATATACGATTAGTATTCAAGGGCAATATATAGATACATCCCTCAAATGGGGGCAATATCTAGATATATCCCTGAAACTTCGATATAAAGCACTTGAATACGCAACGAGCTGGGGAATAAGCGAGATACAACACTGTGAATAACAAAGAAAACTGAATCAAGTATGAAATAAGCATTATTAAACCTTTCAGAGTGAAGGAACTTAGTTATTAACCAAAAATTTGAACAAGTGTTCTTACAAGCTTAGATTCCTAGAATAAGTAGATGAGATCTTGTGAACAGTCATAGTTGGCAGGCAATCTAATATACTTGCCTGCTTGCATGCTTTTTCCAGCATCATTACCACCTCTATTTTAAATATTTCACAAGTGCAGACTCTTATTGTTTTTTGTTTTTTTTTTCAAGGCTGGTTGTGTTGAATTCTCTTATTGTTTTTTGTTTTTGTTTCAAGGCTGGTTGTGTTAAATTCATAAAAAAGCAAGATCCAGCAGAAATGGCTAGGCAGAAAGAAACAAGAATCCTCATTTCACAAATTGCTGAACAGTACACCACTCTTTAGTCAAACAACCTACTTTCTAATAGTTTAGGCTCCCTCTTCCTCACCAAAAAAAATGAGAAATCAAATTGAGAAAAAAAAAGAAAAGAGAAAAACAAACCAAAAAAAAGAAAAATGAAAAGAGCAAAGCAAAAAAAAAAGTTGTCAGAACTAAAAAAAACCCTGTCACATGCAATACAAAAAAACCTGAACATTGCATGAAGACAGGAGGAAAAAATATATTGGAGAACAAAGCAACACTAAAGAAAAAAAGAAATCAAGAAAAACTCAAAAGCAAAGCAAAAAAAAAAGTTGTCCATGAAAACAAAAAAAAATTATCAGAACAAAAAAACCTGTCACATGTAATACAAAAAAACTGACTTTACAAGAATTGAGAATTCAAGAACTCAGTTCATACACACTAGTCAGAACATTGCATGGAGACAGAAAAAAAAAAACATTGGAGAACAAAGCAACACCAAAGAAAAAACTCAAGAAATCAAGGAAAACTCAAAACTTCTTTAGAAGTATCAAAAGAAACATGAAAACAAGTTACTGGTCAAGTTACGAAAACAAAAATCCAAAAGTACCAAAAAGAAAAACATGTAAAAAAGAGTGGAGGGGGAGCTTTTTAGTCTTATTTTTTAGCATATGAATGTTGTTGTAATGGAATAGTATTTCCACATTTTCTTTATTGTATGATATAGCTTAGATGTAAATGTATGCATTTTTGAATAAAACAGAAAAAGGCTGTTTCTTAATAAATTGATTCTAGAAGAAATGTCTTGAATAGAGTAATTTATTTTTGAAAATCAATCAATTGATCCTGAATGATGTACAAATCCACTGAGCCTACTGAGTCATCAATCACACACATGATAAGATGTTAAAAATTTAGATATTTTTCAACTTACAATGTATCAGAATTAATGATCCAAAAGGGTAGATCAAGGGAGTGACTACATAACCACTCTTTCCAAGGTTTGGAAATAGAAAAAGGTCATGAAATGCTCAGTAAATAAAGGGGGGAAGGGAAAAAATCAATATTATTAGCATATATAGCCTGTGTAGCTTCACGAATTATAGCTCAAAGACAGACAGACCTTCCAAGAACGGTGTCTATACCTTATCACCATGGAAACAGGGCACGTTTTCGTGATAATAGCCGACTTTAGATATTTAGATTCAGTGATTATTATGCACAAAATAATTGTAGACGGGGCTCTGGAGAAACAAAAGAATATGCGTTGTCAGAATTACATAGCATAACGACCCTGGCTTTGCACACAACAAGCGATTTTATTTTCTTGAGTCGTTTTCGTTTCTTTCTCCTATTTTGATCTTAAAATTTCCACTATTTCCAGGCTGAAAGCTTGCTAGGGGGTACGAATTTGACATTCTTGTCATATCAGTGAAATATGCTTGCGTGCATTTTCTTGGAACAAGAAAAAATACTGTGATATTTCGCTATCGCGGTAAAAATCAGTTAAGGTACACACTATTTACACCTTAACAGACATATAGATAAAACTACTAACGAAGTTCCATGAAAATTTGCTGATAAAATGCAGTATTTTTATTCTCAGTCGATGTTGATTTCCTTGAATAGTTGATTGGGGAATTCCCCTCACTTATCAACCAATCAGAGTTTAGTAAACAACACGTGACTTTGAACTCGCTATAAAATATCCCTCGCCCTTTTTGCCTTCGTACTTCAACTTTCTTTTCGCATAACATCATTATTATTTGGTACTTGAACTTTTTTTTGTGTAACTTACATCTTACAAATGCTGAAAGCTGGTAGGCACTTCGAAGAGGTTCTTTTGAGAATCTTGGACGAATTAACTTCGATAGAGAAGTCGCGGTTATATTTTTACTGTGGAAAAGGTTTGCCCACACCACCAAGACCACTGAATGAAGAAGAAATGCTATTTCGCGAGCTACAAGATAGGAATGTGATTTCATCTGGCAACGTGTCCTTCTTGAAAGAATTTACGAACACCATTCTTCGATATGACCTGACAAATATTCTACTGGAGTATGAATCAGAAGTTGAAGTTGGCACTATCCTCCAAGAGTATACCTATTTCCGAGACGAAAACCCGAACTTCGACTGTCCAGAAATGTCCTCGACGCAGATCATTTCCAAACATTTGTCCCGAAAATTTACAAACTGTTCAGAGCCGCTAACAAAGATTGTCAGACTTTCGAAAGACACAAGCTTTCAAGACGATTTAAGACTATCAATCGATGAGATGACCCGGGAAGGGAACGAGTTGTGTTGGTCGTCCATCCTCCAGATTCTGGGATTCAGCTCGGAGTTGGCGTACAGACGAATGTGTTTATTTCCTGGACCGTCTAWGTTTCASCGATKGCTTTCAGACATTGACGACGTTCGCCTGGTATTACAAGAATTTAAGATTGCGTCGTGGATGGCGCGAAACGGAGGCGTTGTAAGTACTATTACTTAAAGTATTTTGCAAATATGTGACTGTATGTATAACGAGTTTCAATCTCATGGCGGAAAGATCGGCCTTTCGCGCGGAATTTTGATAGTAANAACCACAGGCTTACCAGTCTCTGAGGAGTTACGGGAGATGGGCTACCTGTGGCGACAAACTTAACGGATTTTCACATGTAGTCAAAATATCGTTTCTAAACCGTATCTTTTCATTCTTGAAATATCAAAAAACTTCAATAAAGATGGTTCAATAGTTTATGAACATTTTTGGAGGGGTTATTTTCGATTTTTATGCTGTTTTAGTGTGTTTTGGGAGGGTTAGATTTCGACCGATGTTTCCACATTCCTTTGAGTTCAAAATTTGTGCATATCATATTTACAAGGTGGATTTTTGACCTTCGCGGTCGATTTTCTCAGTTGATATTGGTCGTTGGAAGCTGAAATTTGGCGAGGATGTAGGAAAATTATTATCCTACAGCATACCAAAAGCTTGATTTTGTAGGACCGGCGTAAGGTGGAAAAATTCGGCGTTGAAGTTGACCGGCCGAGAGAAGGAGAAATCTAACCCTCCCAAAACACACTAGCCTGTGTGTACATCCGTTTCTCACCCCTCAAAAAATCGGGGAGAGAACGTCTGTGATTTGCCGTTGCTAATTGTGTTCTGAGGTCCTCAAGATTTTGAGGACGAATTTCATTGGCCGTTGTCTTATGAGACTTGTGATTGGCCAAAATCGATAGATGGCGTGTAAAGTTGGTCACACGAGTGAAATATAAGCCTTCAGAAAGCCTTCATGGTAAACCACTGGAACATGTAGAATGCTTCAAATTGAATATGTTATTTGCTCTCAAATTCTCTGTAAAAGTTTAGGCTTTAATCTTATATTCGGTCAGGGTAAATTTAAAATTGATGTGGAATTATAATGTCATTAGAATTCGCCGCCAATCTTCACGAACAAAACTTGCATTTGTCAGAAGTGCTAAAGAAGATAATGGGGCTTAGTAGTTTGTATTCTACATCTCATAATAGCCTGCGAAAGCGCCAGAGTTACAGCTTCAAAACTGCCGAGGACAACGTAATCTTCACAAGAAGATATTAGTACGGTTGATGGAAGTCATTGTATGACGCAAATTACAGGAAAACCACATTCTGACGAGACACCTACTACCGAAGATAGAGAGAGCACGGCATAGACCAATGGGCAGAGACAATAATGTAAACCACGGTCGAAGTTAGAATTGAATGGCTGAAACAAAAACAAAATCTCTNTTCGCGCCAAGTGTGATTTTGCACAGCGGAGATGACAATAAACAAAGCAAAGTTGGTTGGTTTTAGCTCTTACAACAACAATAATACCATTCTCTCTGTCGATCCGGTCGTTCTGCTTACTATCGGCGTGGCCATCAAGGTGTGCAAAATGTTGAGACCAGGGATTTAGTGTAACGTCAAAATAATTGTCACATTTTATGTGACGCTCGTCCACACAGGCAATTTTCGATATGTGACAATTTTTAGTTTGTCACATAAAAACTAGCATGCCAGCTTTCCAGCAACTACAGTTGTCACATAAATATTGGTCAATTTTGCTCATCTACACGGGCAATTAAAAGTTGTCACATAATAATTGCCACATAAAAATTGCTCGTGTAGACGTGGCTTAATTAATTCCTACCGCGGTACTTCACTTCACCGGTTTCCCTGTGGTATATTTCGTTAAATTTATTCTATTTTTTGCAAATAAAGAAATCAAAGAAGGATGGGTTATCTATATGACTTGAACCTGGGACCATCTGGGCTTTTCAGGGTTTTTTTTAGCTAAACATGAATGCAAAATTTTAGAGAAAGACGAAGGATGATAATGATGAACAAGAGTGAGTAGTGTGTCGATATCAGTATTAATGCTCCGTTCTTTCGCGATATAAAATAGATCACTTTGTCATTAATAAATGCATAACTATTCCTTTCGAAGCGTTTTTACGTTTATTTGAAATTTTGAAACACTCATAAAGATAATTTGACGTTTGGGGTTTGCAGTATTAAAACGTGAATCTAAAAATTATTTCTGATGAACGATAAAAATATATTGAACTACTACCCTAGAAAAAATCGAAATAATTATTATTCATTGTTTGAAATAAAGATTCTATGATTGTACTTATTATTTGATCGAAATTAAAGTTGATTTCCTTCACTCTCAACAACAAACACACTTTAGTATGAACATATTATTGTTACTTATGGTCTAATTTGTGATAGACCACTCGCGGGAAAATCAAAATAAATAAATTATAAATTATTTTAAAGTGCACATGACACCGTTTAGAAAAACGCTTTTATCGAAAAGTTTACACACTGCCAAGTATTTCTGTGAAGAAAGAAATAGATTTTGAATTTTATTTTCTATTCTATTTGAAATTTGAAAATGCAAATGAAGTGATGTCAACTAAGGAATTGACCCAGTCTTTTTACATTGTTTGCACTATGCTGTTCTTGGTTGAATAGCTCTAATCATCAATCATAGCAATAATTTAGAGCTGAAAATGCTTTTTCCAGTGTAACAAAAAGAATAATACGTCCTCTTTCATGATTTTGTATATTAAATCATTCCTTAGTAGACGTCACTTCATTTGCATTTTCTAAGTTTCAATTGCCCATAACTTAGAAAATACAATTTAAAATCAATTTCTTTCTTCACAGAGTACTTTCAGCATTTTCTCTTTTGGATGAGAATGAATTTCTAATGGTGTCATGTGCACTTTATTAGGATATTTCAATTTGACCAATTAGTATGTTTATACTAAAACAATTAGACCTCTCGGCCTCGTGGACTACGAGCTGATAGCCCATTTGGCCTCGCTGACTTGGCCTCATGCGCTATTAGCTTGTAGTCCACTTGACCTCGAGGTCTAATTGTTAAATAGATAAAAATCGATAAATTCCAGACATAAATCGATAAAAATCAAACTAACACTAAAAAATAATATCGATTTTTAACAATTTCAGATAGATCGATTGACTACTTCGGGAGTACAGTAGTGCTGTACAGTTGGTTGTTCCGAATTCGTCAATCAATCATCAATCAATACAATCATTCTTCGAGTTATGTTGGCATTGGCGGCTTCATTGTTTCTTTTCCCTACATGTATATCTATTTTTCCGTATATTTCCATGCTGAAAGCTTTTTTCCTGTAAGTGGTAAAATTATTTCTGGAATTTTGTGATGAAAGCACAAAACCCAATAATATTTATTTATTTTTCCTGTTTTTTTTTATAGGCTGGATGTGCCAAATTTATTGCAAATCAAGATCCAAAAGAAATTGCAAGACAAGATGAAATTAAAGTGTTGGTTGCACATATTATCTGCCAGGATGATGAAAAACAAACTAATGTGAAAGATCTACAGTAATATACAAGATATAAATAGAAGATATATGGCGTGGAGTACGTCTGGTAATAGAAAGGTAAAGAATTAGTACGATTAAATGAACCGACCGTCTCCGAATGGATTGCTACCTTATCGCGGTGGAGCTGTTTGTGTGTCCCTAAGACCCTGAGAGCTAAGTCAGCTGGAGTCTTGAACTCCTGGTAGGGCTACCCATGCTGAAAAGGTCAAGGGGTAGGGTCCAGACGAAGAGCAATCCTTTGGTTGCAATAAAAGAACTTGTCAAGAAAAAGAACTTTTCAAGTTCCAAAAGACATAAATTTCAGTACATTAAGTTCTGAAAACAATTACAAACAAAAAAAACATTTATAAAAAAAAACACAAAAAAAGAGAAAAAGTTATCAAAGTTCACAAGTACCAAAAGAAACAAATAACTATTCATCAAGTTACACAAAAAAAGTTCAAGTACCAAAAAAGAGAAAAAGCAAGCACGAAAAGAAACAAATTACTATTCATCAAGTTACACAAAAAAAGTACCAAAAAAAATTGAAAAAAGTTGTCCAAAGTTCACAAGTACCAAAAGAAACAAATAACTATTCATCAAGTTACACACACAAAAAAGTTCAAGTACCAAAAGAAACAAACTATTCATCAAGTCAAGTTACACAAAAAAAGTTCAAGTACCAAAAAAAATTGAAAAAGTTGTCCAAAGTTCACAAGTACCAAAAGAAACAAATAACTATTCATCAAGTTACACACACAAAAAAGTTCAAGTACCAAAAGAAACAAAGTTATGAAAACAAACAAGCTTTTGATGGTAAGCGTGTGTGTGCTGTCAAGTACGTGTCCCTGGAAGATGCTGACGATTTCATAGTGCAAAGCTACATCAATGAGATTAACATGTTAAAAAGA